CATTTGCATTGACCAGCAATAGCTAAGATCCAATTGTATAGGCTTTGTAACAGTGGAAGATTGGCATATGTATAAAGATACGTGTCTGAACAAAGAGTAATTAAGATAGATAATTTGAGTAATTGCTAAAAAAGGACATACCGTACCAAAATGTGTGAATATGAAGATGTGGATTTGGTTAAAACAAGAATGTCATAAGAAATAATTTGAAGAAATGCAGAATTAATTGAATGAGTNATGATATTAGGAACATTTGTTTACAATAAGAAATTTATTTAATTATTTGTTTGTATAGTTAAAGTTTCGCGAATCGAAATTTGCGACACTCAGTTTATTTGTACTTTACAAATTCTGAGTTAAATTTAGCACTTCTACTGAAATGGAATAGCTCATAAATTTCTTCGATTACATTTCCAGTTAATACTTTTAAAAATACGTAACATTTTTTTGCTTTTAAAGTGTGAAAAGTTAAAAACAAACATTCAAGCAGTTGGCATTTAAGGAGCAGTAATCACCAACACGACCAGCTCCGGCAACGCTTTGACGTTTGTGACGTTGTAAGATATCCAAACAAGTTCCGTTTAAAAAACGCTCGCTACGTGCACAATATTTTTCAATTAATTCATTCTTCTTTGTATCGCAAAATAAGTACGAATTCTCATGGATACTAATACGACTAAAATTTTAAAAATTTCAGAATGAATTAAAATATTTAAATTGTCGGCGATTTAAAAAATGCATTTGCAGCTGAAAAATAATTCTATAGAAAGTTTTGCATTTTTTAAAGTGTCTAGAAATTAAACATAGCAAAAAAAATAACTATAACATAAGGATCTAAAAAGTACTTTACTAAATAACTGAATTCTTTAAACTGAAATTGGTTACATTAACGATCATGTTCAAATTCCGCTACTTATAATAATTGGATTTCAGGATTTGTATTAGTCAATTTCTAATTAAAAGAGTATATTATTTGGAAAGCAATTTGGTTGAATCTGTGAAGCAGTCTTAACTAAATAATTAACTAATAATTTTCAGATAAACTTCATTTGCTATTCCAAAGTATTTGATGAATGAAACGAAAAAATTTGATAAAACGATATTGTAATTTTTATATTTAGACGTATTTATGAGACTTCATAGCATCATTTACGCAAATAACTACTTATATTGGCGAGAAATAAACAAGTGCTTTAAATAATTTAATAAATCCTTCAACCAGTTAACGTGCTAAAAATAATTTGATGTTGTAAAAAACAGTTTTACATGAGAAAAAGTGGTGCTCTAAGAAATCTCTTGATCCCATTAGGGCATATTGCTTTTAATACCCTATAAATTAATTTTACATAGAGTTATATTAAATAAATTTATAAGTCAAAAAATTTGTTCATAATTTAGAACACAGAAAAACAAAATATGATATCTGGTAAAAGTAAGCTTACTTATTTGCAGTATCACAGAATAAATGTTCATGTCGTTCATCTTTGAAGCATTTCTGACCGGCACTTAATAATCTACATTGGTCACACTGATTACTGATCTTGCAGATCGAAATAGCCCATGCTGAGCCTGAATTAAGGTTCAAACTTCAAGCTGGATAAAGGCAGCAATCTAAATTTAAAAAATTAAAATTAATTTTTTGAGTTTTCGTATGAGCAATAAATCTTTTGTAACAGAGAATTGAAAATGATGTAATATTTCGAGATAGAATAAAAGTAGTATACAGATTGAAAGGTCAAATCATAGCTAGCTATGATTTGACCTTTCAATCTGCATACTGCTTTTATTCTATTTTAATCATTGATTTGACTCTAAAAAAAGAGTCATAATTGTATCTCTCTCACTGAGATATAAAATTCATATTTAAATAATGAACGATCAAAGCGTGACATCAAATTACCTAAGCAAAGTAGTAGATTTACTGCCCCAAGGAGCATTATAGCAGTAGCAATAGTCCAACAATACATAGAGTTATCTATGCAGATTTAAGTCTAAGTTGCGCAATTTTTTTTCTACGACGTTTTACTTGAGAAGAAGAAAGAAGAAAACTTAAGTAGTATAGGTTGGTGATTGTTGTAATTAGGAACTAATGAAATTGTCACCGACCAACAAGTTTGTGTCATTCACTGAGTGACCAAAGAAGACAGAGATTTATATGTTAGGAGTGGACCTGAAGATCCTTTAAGTTATTGGTTAGCAAGTCGGTACTCTGCATCGAAAAGATGTAATGATCTATTTCCAAACTTTCTTCTCTCTTCAGCTTCCTCTCTCTTTATTTACTGATTGCTCTTTCGGAGGAAACCAGTCGAATGTCACGCTAAACTGCTAATTCTTCCATCACTTCTAAAACCAGAAATAAACAAAACTTACCACATTCTATTTTGTTGTTAACTTTGCCGTTCATCTTCCTGTCAGTAATAGTTAACTCGCCGTAAGGAATCTCCTATTTCTTAAAATTAGAAATTTGTTTAGAAATCTACGAAGAGCTTCGAATTAAGATAGGATTACAATAAAATGGGCATAACAAAAAAAAAAAAAGATTATATTATTTGTATTTTGAAATTTTAAAGAGACTTTTTGTTAACCATCACTTGGAAGAAAAGCAAACTAAATTTTGGTACTTGCGAAGGTCATGGAGCAATGTAAAAAATTTTTAGTGTAGTAGAAAAATTGGTCTACAAAATTTTCGAAAACTTCCAATCTTTCATCTATTCATCAACAGAAATCAATCTAAGTTGACTTTGTTAAAATGGATTCATTTCACTATCTTTTTGCTTATCAGCGATTGGCAATGAAAAAAATGGGAAGTACAGACGGCCTTACGCTTGCCAGTACCATCGATCCAACGATGCAGGAACAAGGTCAGACTTAAGTTTAGAGAAATATTTGATTAGCAAATATTTACTTACGAAAATGGTGCCTAAGGAAATCATTCTCCAATGAAGTATTTACCTCTTTAGTAAACAAATCAATATGCGTCAGGTAACAATACCAAACGTTGTACGTCATATTTAGAATTAGCTGCTTTCAACATGTGGTAAAGTGCATTTAGAAAATGGCAATATTTTTTTGAAAAGAATTTATTAGATGACATGTTCTGCTTTGATGATGGAAATATTTTTTAATCCCATTATTTTCTTACAGCTTCGATAATAGAAAATGTAGTGATAATTAATTAAATATTATTAGTTATCCAAACAATCACCTTTAAACCACGAAATATTTTCATGCTTCCACTTTATCTTATGCATTAATTACGCTAACGAATGTGATTACTTAGACGTGCAATGAGTTTATTTGCATGCAAGGAAGACAATTATTATTCAATTTATATAAGTAATGATTTTATTGTACGAAATGAAAGGTAAAGATATGCATGTATTGTACTATTAAAAAAAATGCTTATTTATATATCACTTCGAAAATTTGATACTAATAGAGATGCATGATAGAAAACTGAATTACTACGCACATAGTGCTTATTGAATAATTTTTGGGTGTTATCATCAGAAAAAGAGAAAAATAAAATTTTCCATGAAAATGACAACATTGAATTAGAAATGCGTCTTCGTTCATCACTTAAATATTAGAAAAGGTCATTCGCAGATGTCATTTAAGTAGTTCACATTTCACTAGAAATTCGATTTGGTAAATAACAAGACTGGAAGGCACCTGTTATGTTAGATTTTCATTTCTTATTTCCAGCAGTAATGCTTATGTCTATGATTATTACCAGAATAATATCTATTTCAATTTTCATAGACGGCAATATTCTCTATAATCTTTCACAGAATTCAAGGTAATCATTCCCACAATTCCGACGAAAAACTCGGGATACCATTTACCAACCATTTAAAAACAAAAGATTGCCAAAAATCTCTTTACTAAAAAGAAACGCTACTACAAGCGTAACATCAAACTAATGAAAGTCAAAATAAAACGCTGCGAGAACTGTTGCATGTATTTCATACAAATTCATCCGACCGAAAAGACTGAATCCTCCATTTCCAAAAATCTTCAGTGTCTCTGTTACAGAAATAAGCAGCGCAAACTGAAGCAAACAATTTTAAATTAATCTGAAATGACGGAAATTAATAAAGGGGTCAAATTTTAGCGTGAAAGATCACATGGATAAGTAAGAAGCAGCAAAGCTTCCAAAACTCAAGCACTATGAAAAGTCAGTATTTATCATACTGGTTATCTGGCCGCTTATCATGCAGTTTCTACGGAATATCTACAAATGCTTAACTTCTCTTAAATCCAACCGCAATTTTCAAATAGTAACTGTCTACTCTTTCTCGTTTAAATTCCTAAAATAAAATAAGCATATCAGTCAGTAGATCGGTTCAAATTGTTTAAAGAAGCTCTACTTAAAATTTTTTACCTACTACTATTGTTTAAACCAGCTAACCAGTATAAATCACCAAAACATTCTGAAAAAAAGATATTTCTACTATAATCAACACAAGGAAATCATCACATTCGGCTATCATAAAATGTACGGACTCGAAAAAGAAAGTTCACAAGAGCGCCAAAAAGTAGTTGGAAATATTTAGAATGAAATAATTAGTTATTATATCGATCAGATGCATTATTAATAACATGCAAATTATAGTTTTCTAAGACGATTATGATACATTCTTAAAATACACGACCATATCAAAAACTTCAATTGCATCAAAGCATAAAATATTGAATGAAATTCTTTGATTCACAATAGTAACAATCCAAAATTTCAGAGAGTGTCTAACAGGAACGTTTTGTTCTTGCTACAAACGGCAGTTTTGTTCTTGCTACAATCGGCAGTATTTTTTGCAGAGAAATTGGAATTCCATAGTATAGAAGACTTATGGCGATTTAATATAGCTGTAAATAACAACTTCGTGGTGAAAATACACAGAAAATCAACTTATCCATCACTTCGACGTTCTGAAATCGAAATACTTCTGTGTTATTTATTAGTATAAAATCTTATTAATAATGTCTTTCTTTATACATGGTTAACTCGCTGTACTCACCAATGATCTGGAAAAATCTTAATGATTAACAACTATTTCAAATTTTTGTTTTTCAAGGGAAAAGGAAAAGTTCTTGAGCACTTTATGGCTATCACGTCTGAAAACCACTTCTTTAAAAAAAATTAGCATTAAACAATTCAAAATATAATTTTTGAGTTGCAGTGATTCCAATATATCTCATGCCTATGCTAATCCCATACCGCGATAGGGTATAGGAACGAAATTTAGGAAAGATAACTAGCCTAGAACATCAATCCCAATATATTAGATTTAAAAAAAGTGGTTTCAAATTAAAAACCTTTCACTACAACTTTCAGTGACTGTTCACTTCCAGATTGATCTTGAACAAGTCTAAAACCGAAAAACTATTTCCACATATTTTTAAAGCTATTTCATACTACTTAATTTTAATAAGTAAAAAAGTTGGGTTCTAAATAAATCTTCGAAAAGAACTGATACAATCTACCAATACTATTACAATCCTGAAGAAAGAAAACGAACATTTTGTTTTGAACTTCCCTATCCTCGGTGGTGCCTTTCTTCGCCATATCTACGCATGAATTCGAACTAATTTTATCATTTCCTGTATATTTCTCTAATTCCTTCATCATTAATGCTGGTCCTAAAGATAAAACACCATTATGAAAACACATTTCTTTTACTGTTATATTTATGACGACAGTTAATCTCCCAAATTATAATGATTGAACCGAGTAGAAATTTGATCTATATTACATAATTTCAATAATTTGATTGCTGTTATATCATATTACTGCTAATATTTTTTCAAACCAATCGGATTTCAAGTTTTATAATCGAAATTTAATAAGAAACGGACTATTCGTCTGTTGTGTGCTTCGTGATGATTGCTCATTCTGACTCCTTTGTGCCTCATCGACCAATACCACAACATCGATCCGTTTCGTTCTATCTGCGTAAGTTTTAGTTTTAATCAATAGTTTCGGCAGTGACGTAATGTTACCAACACTATTATTTAATTCTTTAGAGTCTGAGAGAGAGCTAATATTAATTAGACATTTTAAAAGTGTGAAAACATAAAACTATCCGGAATGTGCTAAAATAACAAATTTTTCGTTGTAAATTCACAAAACATGAAAATTTAACTTGTGACTTACGTGTCTCCATTTCCTGAAAATTATTCTTCTGCTCAGACACTCTTATTTCTATGAGTAAAGATAAAGCACTTTCCACTGCCCAGAAGCATAATGGAACATAATGTAAAACCTTTCGCACTTCGCAATCATATTATGTCTCATCATACGGTAGTGTCACTATCGCGCTGATTCTGCGAAACCGAGACAAAATTGCAGTATTTCATGTAGAATTTGAAATGAAAAATTGAAGAGATAACCTTTTCGGAATTGATTACAGAAGCAGCTATGCTGTTGCTCTTGACGAAGAGAAGGATATTGTTCCTCTCGCCGATCACCTCTTCCTTTTTCTTTTAATTGTGCTCCATTCACAAATTGTCTTTTGAAACGCATATTTGTTATTCCTCGTCTATTGTATCTCCTATCTTCATTGTAACCTGATAATGACAAATTCCAAGTTGACTCAGAACGAGAAAATGTTGAGTAATAACCATCGGAATGATTCATCGATTGTCTCATTGTGCGGCCACCACGTATCATGTCTCTGGATCGCGATGAATTTTGACTTGATCGTCCCCGGTACTGTAAAACATTAGAAATAAAAAAAAAAACATATGATTCTAGTTTTCGTTATACGCAGTATTTTCAAACTGCTAAAAATCAAAATCAACATGGAGAGCAACTATTTTATTGCATACGAAAAATCGAGTTGCGATCTATTTTAGAATTGACTTTTTGTCTCATAAAACCTTCATACTGGAATCCCGCATGTACTCTCATTTATCTGGTTTCACCTCCATGCCAGAATGTAATAAAATATCAAACATTATATTTCGCCTGTACTTCACACGTCAAAAATAATAGCAGAATGCATACGAAGTGGCTTCAGTTTAAAATTCAATTTCATAACTATAAACTACTGTTTTTGAAATTTAAAGAGTGAGAGAATGTAACCGACAAAAAATTTATTAGATGAATTAAAGTTTGGCGAATTAAAGTTTACCCTTGCTGAAAAAAATTCACGGGTATTCGAATGTGCGTAGTGATGATTCAGTTGTGATGACGAATATCGTGAATTTTCCCAAACGGTAGTATCATGAACTAGAAAAAAAAATGTATACAAGTGAACGGTAAGGAAGAGAAAATTGTAAAATTTCAAGAAAATTTTAAAAATTAGCAAATTTTACCTCTTGCTGGTTGGCGCTCTGTTCGATAATCATATGTATCGTCGGTACTATCATCGTTTTGATGCAGTAATCTAGAAATGATTATTTAACACAAGTTAAAAACACGATCAAAATTCAATCAGTTTCTAGTACAAATTTAAGCTGTTACCGATTTTGATTAAAATTTGATACAGGATTGCCACATGAAATTGAATGTAAGGGATTGGTGTTACGATTGCTAAACGAAGCTGATAAACCCGTATCAGATGAAGATTCTTTCGATTCAACAACTGCAAATAACTGATTAAGTAAAAGAAAATTTCATAAAATTGGACAATGCATCCTTTATAGTATTATAAACAAAAAAAAAAGCAAAAAGCAGATTAGGTTAACGACAAGGAAAAGTGACATGGGAAGAATCATATGCTAAAAAATTTTATTTCACAATTGCTAAAATAATTGTTCATGGTAGCGCAAACAAAAGTCATCAATATAACCTTTCACAATCTGAATTAAAAACTACTATAATTATTTCTAACGTGGTAAGTAATTTAGGTTCCAAACTGATGATATACTGAGTCCTAAGAAAGAGAAAATAAACGAGGTGGAAAAAGTCAGCAACCTCTTACTGGCAATCTTTGCGGAATATCCCTGGGTGTATCAGTGCCAATATCACAATGGTATTCACGAACATAATTCTAAAATACTTTTTAAATTTCTTTCATTATATACTTTCAGAATTTCATAATCGTGTTATTTATTTCTATTTAAAGACTACTGTTGTGACAAAGGGATATAAAGAAGTCATAAGAAATTGTGGAATCTTCTAACCACCGTAAGCGTAAATGTTAAGGTGCTTCATTTTGTGCTTTTACCAATATTTTTCACTACCAAATAAAGTCAGCAGGTGGAAATGTTCGGGCATGTAAGAATATATCAAAGATGCAACCTCATTTTTAAACGAAGATTTCAATGGGAGATTCTTCTTTATTTGCCAAGTCTTTTCTGGAGAACTGACCATCGAGTTTTCAGCGAACTCTATAGAAAACAGATTGAAACAAAGAGGCAATGAATCCTTGCAGACCAGTTACCTTAATATTGAAGGTAGACTCTTTTCTATGCGTCATACAACTTAATATCAGCAAATTAACAATTGTTTAAATTAGCTGCTAATATAAGATTTTAGAACTATCCCGTAGCTTAGATAAGTATAATTACCTGTCGGACCCGCGAATGTTTCTGAAATGATCTTTTTCCCCCATATTCGGGGTATCTGTTTGAAATATTCAGTTGATTTTAGTGCTGCTATTGTGCCAGATGATTGAAACCACTGCGGTGGACTATTCTGAAGCATTGCAGCGGCTACTGCTACTGTCGTGGAGCCTGAAAATACTGATTTAATCAAATACTGGTTCTCAAGTCATATAAATGCATCGCTTTTTTAAAATTACGTCTTGCTGTCTCTGATAAATTACCTTGATCATTAATTAATGCATCGACGACATTAGTTCCAGAACCCATCAAACTCTGCGATTCGGATGCAAATGATCGCGTATACATCGACGATTTTTTGCACGAACATTTCGATTCCGATGCATTTCCAGAGGCAGTATTGCTTGTTAAATCATAATTAGAATTACTAGCAACTGCATCGAAGTTGTATTCTTTCGAATGCTCATTAAAACTCTGGCCGACAGATGCTTTGTCAATATTTTGAATATATCCCACCTGAAAAAAAAGCTGGACATAAAAATATAAAAAGAATGAAGTTTGTTAGATAAAAAAATTAATGATGCCAAGCATGTTTATTTCTTCTTGTCTACAGAAACGATCTGAAATCGCATAGGTGAACTTGAAGTAAGAACTGAAAATGCAGCATTTGCATAACAACTCGCGAGAGCAGAAATAAAGTGCTAATAGGATTGAGCAGTTGGAATAGTGTTATATTCTAAAACTTCGAATGCCTCTCAACTTCGTCATTGTGATGTCAAAAGCTAATACAAAAAAGATAACAAGCATATATTTTTGAAGGTTTAGAAAAAATCATGATCATAGGGTGTAATAATTGGAATTTAAGCCTTTTTGGCATGCATTCATACTGCTTTCGGAACTAACTGCTTTAATACCTGAATATAATTTGAGAGACTAAAAAAGTAATAAATTTTTTAAAGTGAAAAATTTAAGAAAGCTAGTCATCTGTTTTTTAAATCCAAAATTAGTTTGTATATTTTCTGTTAACAATTTCTGAAATATTTTCAAACCAAAACTGAAAATTCAGAACGTTTTGAGGAATAGCTACCCCAGTTAACGGCCTTCCAGAATCGTCAACTGGAATTATTACGATACCCTTACTTTTATTCTGTCAAAATAAATCCCAGAATTGTGGTATAAACATATTTACCATATCTGAAGCTCTTTGTTCCTGTAATGTACTATTTCAACTGTACTTCAAATAACTCCAGTTCCCGTTCAAATCATTATTTTTCATATATCTTATGTTCTAAGATTTTTTGCTTTCTCGGTTACTCAGAAAACAAAAAATTTCTTCTACACTACTCATTTTCTCGGAATAGTGTAGTAGCTGTGCTTAAAGTGTTATGTATGGTGATTACTGGAATTACTAACTTTCGTTACAATCGAATCTTCAAATTTTACGGCTCCTTCTTTGCTTTTTCTCTGGCCTGCAATTTTACCTATAAATAAGTAGTCTCGAAGATTTACCGCAACTTAACGCAGTAAGGTTTTAAAAAAATAAATATAAAGTAAGCTCAAATTTTCTTAAAACATCGTCAGCAGCATAGTCTTAACAAAGTTATAAAGGGGACTGCAGCAGTTGCTATCAGAATTATACACCTTATCAGCCTTTTTAAAGAACTTATTATTAGTTTTATCTATGTAGTTTTTTTACAGATACCTTGAATAGTAATGATAATAATAATAGGTACGGTTTAACAATAAGTATTATGCCTAAAAACAAAGCATGAGAAAATTTCAATCTCATAGCGCAGTTAATTCAAAAACAGACATCGTATCAAAACCAAGTATGAACAAAAATAAGTCATTCATTTCTATTCAAAAAGTTAGTTCTGTCAGAACATGAATTTAAATCTTTTAAAGTTGATAAAATAGGAAGTATTTCCCATACAGCTTCTAAGAAGCAGGCTGATAATGCAGGATGACTTTTCTAAAAGTGTGGTCAGTCAATTTTTAAAACATGAAATCAAATTATAAAAGTTTTCAAAACATATTTACTTGCTGGATTGCTGCCAACTGTTACTGAGATTGGTATATTTTCACTCCTGTATGGTTGTAATTCTTCCTGATAAATGTGTGTTTGTGGTAAGGATGCAGGAGTATCATTTATTGTAGTTGATGAAATAAGACGCATTGATGGAAATGCTGAAAGTTTATCGTAATCATGTAGCTGAACTGATAGATTTAAATGAGAAAATGAATAAGCAGAAAGTTAATCAAATTTAGAAAACTCATCAACAAAAAGATTTTTGACGCTAGAAAAAGCTTAATAATGCTTAAAGCTTTAATAATAAATTTTTAAGGAAAAGAAGTTATGCAAGAAGAATTCAAAATTCATCTGTAACTGAACTTACAATTTGATTGCATATTTTGATTCAGCTGGGAATAAAGTAAGGGTGAAGCCTTTGCTAACGAGTTATTTGAACCCTGAAAAAAAACACGAATAAATTTCCTGCCATTACAAATGCCGGTAAAAATTTGCTCAAGTTTAACAATTAAAATCCTCTACCACTTCCCATAATTAAATGCACCTTTAGACAAGCAGATCTTTCTCAACTTTTACAGAAGACTGATAGCTTAAAAATTTTCCTCATCTTCCAATCAACTTCTACGGATCTTTTTGCCCACTCACTCATTTTTCCACAATTTGAAAACTTACTTCGGCAATAATCTCATTGTTTTTAGCAATTAGTGCTTTGAAATCATTCTTAAAGAAATCGAAATCTTTTGTTACGATTAATGGTTCATTCTTCAAAATACCATTCTGAAGAAGTTGATGTCGCATTGCATAAACATTAGTTAAATTATATTCTTCACTCTCAATTGTCACCATATTCTGCAAATGCAAACAACAATGATAATCTACAAAAAAATTTTTAATTAATCATTTTCATTCCTACTCCATCTTTAATTTTAGATATCTCTTTCGAAAATATTGGAAATTGTTTGAGTTAGTTAAACAAAAACCGTATTTTTTTCTCCCCTAATAGCTATAGGATATGGATGTGGGAAAATAAATAATCAGAGAAGAATAAACACTGAAATTTCCAACTTCTTGAATTTAATTCAAACATACTCGTAAAGTATCGCTTTTAGTTAACTGTTCGCCTTCTAAAGGACTTTTTTTCACGATTATTGTCACATTATGATCTGTATCACGCAAGAATATTTCTCGATTTGATGCATCAACTGGACAAAGTAAATCATCATTTTCCACATCGAAAATTAAACGTACAGGTAGAAGACCCTGGAGCAATGTTTCATTTTTGGTTTTTGCTCAAAAATAGTTTTTAGATTACCAATCTTAATATGTGCCAATTCTAATTATTTTCCCTTCACATAATATTTTCCGAGTATAAATCTAAAAGAAATTAATTCAATTGAAATTAATGATGAAAAATTTTCAATGTAAGCTATCGGAGGCAGCAATCAAATAGTATTTTAAAATTATGTATTTGGGAGTGATGATAAGCAAATAACTTCGATAGAAAATAAAGAATGGAAAATAATTAGTAAATAAGTCGTAAGTAAGAGAATTGCTAACTTGAATATATTTCCTCGCTTTCATAATAGCATTCACAGAACCATACAAATAAAATACAGTCGCTCCAAATTGACGGTCTGCTACAGTTGGGAAATAAATGACTGCATTTGTTTCAAAACTTATCATTCGTATCAAATATCCGTCTAGTATTCCCGTAACAGCTAGCTGTTGCACAGCTGGTATATCTATTACCATTGAATATATCATTCCTGATTTCTAAAAAAGCATGCTTTAGCTGTTTACTTTTTGAATTCATTATCATATCTTCATGATTCAAGTTTATTAGACCTAAACGCTCAACATGCTTATCAAAGTTTCAGAATGAGAAAAAATTACATGTTCATCGTCATATATAGTATCAAACAGCAGTCGATCAAGAGCTGTACAAGCTTCACATATATCACGCTCATGAGACGGTGCACCGCGCACAACACACAACGGAATTGGATTATTTGGCTAGAAAATAAGTAATATTAGATATTTTTTAATTACTAAATCAGTGAAAAAAAGAAATATGCGTCTATTTATTTCCGAAATTTAGTTGAGACAAAATCTGGAGTCCAGAAAAAATGACTGAAAAAACTAACACCTCAATCTACCATATGCTGATCGACAAAGTATGGAATAGCTAAGTTTTAGAAAAGTGTGAAAGAACTCACTAACTGTGGCAGCTGCACCGTTATTTCCACGTTAGGAAAATCAATTAATTTTTCAGCAATTGCCTTATCGATAATATTTTTTACATCCTTTACTGATATACCAGATTTCAATGTCTCTAGAGGAAATCTGACTGCTACCGGCGTAAAATTCTATAATACATTATATAAAAATTTTTGCATTTCACCAATCAACATGATTGCTGTAATCAAAAGGAAAGATTTCTGTAATCATTTGAGAACTTTGAACTTAAAAAGTGTATGTCACCATATTAGGAAAGAAATCAGAAAGCTATCATACTCTAATTCGAATCCTGGCTTGCTCAACATTTGCCAGCGGCCCTGTTAACGTCACCTGCAGTAAACTAAATAAACTTCTGTGGCCAAAATTTAAAAAAATTCGTTCTTTTCTTTTCTGAGGAAAATTAGGATAAGAGAGTATTGCAAAAGAGAGAATACAAAATTAGAGTAAGAGAGTATCTGTATTGCAAATTCTCCAGTCATCAAAAATTTCGAAATATGTCATAAGACTGTGAAAATTTTTATGCTTTAGGTTACAACGAAACAATGTGGATGAAAATCCAATGCGAGAGTTCTAAGGCTCTCATAGGTTTTCATTTCCAGTAAAGCAGTCCACAATAAAACTTACTCTATTAACATAATCATTAGCATTTTTGACATCTTGCACCAAGTCCGGGAATTGAATGAGTACACCAGTGTCCTGCATAATTTTTGGTATTGAATCTTGTTCACACCAAGCTTCCATTCGTTCTATCATGCCAGCATGCTCGTTATTTGGTATTTCAATCGTTAACGTAACATTTTTCGACAAAGGAATCTTTAAAAGTAACATGAATTTTGAGAACTGAGAGATATTATATTTTATCCGGAATTAAATCACCACTAATGCTGAATCTCTATAAGCCTCATATTTGATATATCAGCTATATGTAGAGAAAACCAAAAAAGCTAAGCACTAAATCAAATTTCAACGCACTAACTCCTAAAGATTGATCAACTATTGAAAATTTAGGTATTAAATAAAATCGTAGAATTTAATACAATTTTTTATCTCTATATAAATTGCGTCAAAAATATCTTGTATCAACTAGTTACTTCCTGTCTGTGTTCAAATTACAGACTCATTTGGATTCCCAAATGAATTTCAGACATAATTTAAGGGATAAAAACATATTGTAAACAGAACTTTATGATTAAGTAAATTCAATTAATTACATAGATATCGTATTATTCCTGAAGGGAGCAAGGATGAAAATAGCGAGATAATATTCAACGAGATATCAATTGATATAACTTGGTTTTAGTATCCTGAGATAGTTTTGGATTGGCCTCTAATATTTTGCACACTGAATCTCAAGATGCATACCCGTTCCAAATATTGCATTACTTTACCATTAGTAATTTTCTGCAATCGATTAGCTTCCGACTTACGACGCTGCTCATAAGCAAGTTCTATTCGTTGCTTCATTGCATCAAACATCTAAAATTGTAATTTGAAAGGTGATATAAAACAATTAATTTGTAATTTCAAGTTATTTAATTTACCCACCAAATCTGGTTTTTTGTTTTCATTTTTTGGCTCTTGGCGGTATCAAGCGCTTAGGCCTAGCCAAATTAGTATTTCATGACTTGGTAATACTCTTTCTTAATTATTGCACTTTAATCTATTGCTATAAAAGTTACCCAGATCTGATTAAAATGTAACGACCTAAGCAAAAGATAGACAAATTTGTAAAGATCATGAAATAAATAAAATATCAAATTTCAAATCTCTGAATAAATAATGGTTAAAAATTTGTAGTCTGCGTTATCTGTAAAATCCATTTTGCTCGAATCAAATAAAATTTCGATCTTCTGCAAAAACCTGTCTTAATGATTTTTCTTAATCAAAATTTTGTCTTAAATCTTTTCTTTGCTAATCCAGAGTTATACAAAATTTTCTTCCGAAGTTTCATTAAATTTGAAAATTTCTCACCTTCACACTTTCTTGTGAACAATGATAAAAACTGACGAAGAATTCGCCGTGTTGTTGCCGACAGATATTCGGATGTGGGAAATGAATATTTGGACGTCCGGGATTTGCTCGCGGTGTAAAGCCACCGCGAAGAGCCCAGTGACCAGAAAGCGGCATACTCCCTGATGGAGCACTCACACATCCAATTCAGATTACCAGCTTGACGTGTTAGCTTCTCAAGAATTAAAACTGAAATTTAGAACAATTGCTGGCCTAATATGACGAGTTTTCCGATTACTTCTATCGTATTATTCATAAAAATGAATCCCCGCTTTTTATAATTTGCAGCTATAAGAACAAAAACAGTAAGAATGAAAAGAATCTGTCTAAAAGGTTCTAAAAAAATGTCTCCAAAATTAACATAAGTCAAAGCTTCTCTTATTTGCTATAATAAAATTGGAAGTTTTTAAGAGCTGGAAATATAGTTTAAATTTTGAAATATCATCGAATAAATCGTGTTCACCGATGTCTAACCAAGTAGATAGATTAAAAGGAAATGAAGAAAAAGTTTGCGCAAGGCTTGTTTAATGTCCACGTCTAAGATAAGCTACGCTGAACTGTTGGATGTTAGAAATCCATTATTTCTCCATGGAACTCATGAAAACCTTACTATAAACTATCACTAACAGTTTATAGATTCATGAACATTCAGATTCCGATTTCCAGTTGTTCGCAAATACGCAAAAAACAATAAAAAGACAATGTATTTTGCGCATGACGTTTAAATAATCGAAGCATCATGTAATCGGACACGGAAGATGCAAATAAATAAAATGAACATATTTTACAATAGTTTTTAAAAACAACTTTATTTAAATGTAGGTCTTGATAGTACAGCAAAATGAACGTCACGTTTTAACGAAGAATCATGAACGCTACGCTAACTATTTTCACTCTTTTAAAGTAATTGTTGAGAATTACAATTTATTTTGATACTTGTAGAAATCCTAAAATACTTAAAATTTTTGCTAAATTCAGCATGAAAGACAGTCCACCGTCTCTTGCTTTAATGGCCCAAAGTTTAATTTCTATTATCTTCAATGCAATTCATTTCAGATCGATTTTGTTCTTTTGATTTCATTTCACTTCGATTTAATTCCATTTATTTTCGCCCTGTTCAATCCACTCTCACATTTACTTCCTTACAAAATCAGCTAATGAACCACACCCCATTTTGAAAGTAAATCTTTTTGAAAGTGCTTGATTCCCTCTCTCATCTTTTCATTTCCCGATCGTTCTTTCCTCTCGCATCCAACCAACTATCATAATTCCACGCGAAGTCCTATCCCGCCACTAATTCCTGCACCACCCACACTCGACCTCTTTGCGCCTGCCGAACCATCTCCGCCCCCTCCCCTCGCTCTAATTTAGGCCTCCGACACGCCCGCATCCCTATTTCACGAAGAATATATGCAAATCGTGGGAATCAATGACGTGATTTGCGTCGATTTTCTGGGCGAGACATTATCCAAGAGCGATCTTTCGGTAGTTCTCCCAGTACCTCTCTCTCTCTCTCTCTCTCTAACTGTTCTTACTAACCGCAGTATTGTACAAGAAATTTAACTCACGTCAAATATTGTATTCAAAAAATATGCATTAACTCTAAAATTTCCTATAAATTTTGCATTATATTCAAAATATTATATAACAGTGTATCCGCACAGATTAAGAGTTTGTTCTCTTTTCTCGAGTCTTTCAGAGTTATCATTCCTTTTATTATCTGCAATTATTGGGGACTTCCGTGACATATCCTACAAACTTCACTTTTTATCACATCAAATGTGAAAGTATAAATTCATTACAGGATGTAATTTGAACTCATTTCACAAACAGCATAAAATTATCATTGATTAATCTATCCAATATCAATGACTCATCCTGTCACTTTTCTCATTTCCTTTCTTTTAGCTTTCTCAATTTATCAAAACTGGATCTACCCGTAAAAAAATCAAATGAAAAAGGAACAATGAACAAACCCTGGGATACTCAAATAAAGATCCCTTGGAGTAACATCCCGAATAGACCGCTCACAATTGTCGATAACAAAACTGTGATCGACTGCAAACACTTCCATCACATATCTCTCATAATTTGCATATTGGCTAAATAAGTTCATGACGTCATGTGCACTGGCTTATCTTCCAAGCCTGATTAAAGTGAGGCCAAGTTGATGTCGAATGTAACAATATAATTTTTTTTTTTACAGATACTTAATAAAATTTATGCATCTCATTTGTTCAAGCAAAAGAAATTTGGAATTACAATAGGATTTGTAAAAATTTACTCATATAGGTGACCCTAAAAGTAACAATATTCAAATTGTTTCTATGGATTTTCTCTATCCAATGAATTTATATAATTTCGATAACCTAAAGCTATATTGAATTTTGAAATTTACCTCTGTGACTAGTTTTTTCAATTTTTTTCTAAAAAAACGCAAAATTCGAAATTTCAAATTCGGATACGTAATAATTGTCTTAAGAAAGGTTTTTTTTAAAGGAAATGCAACTACAAAATTTAAATTTACTGACAGCAATTATCAAAGCATAATTAATGTTAATTATTCAGTCCCTGTTAATATCAAATAAGTATCTGTCATTTATTCCATCTGATAATCATCGTTTGTAGTGGCGGAATTGTCATTTGTTTGATATTTGGCTAATTGTGTTTCCAAATATTCAATTCTTGCCAACAGTTTCGATTTCACGCTTTTAAATTCTGCCGCAAATCGAGCCATCCTATAAAAAATTTTTACATTATCTTTTGAACTTTATGAAAACAAATATAAATAATACTTTCTTATTTTTAATTATCTTTTCATTTCTCATTTCTTTCCGTGTTTTATTCGCTGCCATTTTTCATAGTTATTGTCTGCGACTATTTTCCTTAATTTAATTTAAGATTTTAAATTTCAAAATTTTAAAAATATCCTTAATTAGTACTTCATTTGCATAATTTTCAACGTATTTTGCAAACTTTTGGTCATCTCTTCAGCTGTCATCTGTTCTTCTGGTGCATCTTCATCCAGTAGACCGTCTTTTCGAAGAATTTCTCGACCCTAAATTGTTTCCGATTACATAGAAATTAGCTTAAACAAGCATCTGAATTTTCCGGTCATCCGTATTTAGCAATGACACATTTGTAGCTGAATGTAGCGGTCATGCATGAGTACCTTTCTAAAGAGGCTTAATCAGAAATTAAACTAAGAGAATTGTAGACCGAAATCAGAGAAAAAAAATGAAGATTTCCGGAAACCTTTGCAATGAGTAGCTTCCTTGCATCCGGATACTCCTTCAATGCGGTCCAAAGATCATTTTTGTTCAAGGCAAACAAATCCGTGTAGCCAACCGATCGTACATTCGCTGTTCGCCGATTACCATTTTTACTCCCTAAATGAAATTTTAATTCATTTTCTCTCTTCTATTTATTCTTTTAGTGCTATATTCTCGAACTAATCGCACTGGCTTAACAATTAAGATGTGCATTCATATTTTAAAAATAAAAATTAGCTCATAACGGATCTCATCTATGCAACCAACTGTCTAATTAGAGAGATAAGTGACTAATTAAAGTTTCTTATGCTTTCATTTACTATAAACATATTTGATTTAGGAAAATTCCATTATTACTGAAAAATGACGTAATGATAATGATGATAATCGTTATGTGTCTAACCAGCGATGTTAAGTATACTAAGTTCTCCAAAAACAGCGCCTTCCTGTAGTGTGGCAAAAACTTTGATCCCGTCATCAGCCACCACTTGTAATTTGCCACGTTTCACAATGTACATTTCACGTCCGATATCACCCTTCTTGCATATGTAATCACCAGGAGAAAATATCTCAAATTGTCAATATAATTATCAGTGTATCTTTTTGGGGCATATGATTTTTTGCTTTAATCTGTTTAATCTTTACAATTAAAATTTATTTGAGCAGTTTTCTTTTCAATACATTTTCATAAATTTCAGAGCTAAGAAATTAAAGGAATTAGGAGAGTACCTGCTGTTGAAGTTTCAATACTAGTTCAGCTAAAAGACCGGCTTCACAATCCTAAAATTTAATAATTTCATTTCCATCAATTGATAATTATTCAAAATTTACTCATTTTATCATTTATCAAAACTGTTTAATGAATTGCATTTTTGAGTGTGAAAGATTTCTGATGCTCGAAAAACATTTGATAAAAATTTATTAAAGTGAAGAAGCAGAAAAAATCATTCCTTACCTGAAAAATGCGTACTCTTCTGAGAGTTTCATAATGCACTTGCATGGCAATTTCCGTTTGCAATTTATCCGGAAGCACTTTCAGTATGCGCTGATCACTTAGGGACTGTTTATGCTCCCATAAATAATCAAACCATTTTATAACTCGCGTTTCAAGCTGCAAAATTTTCATATATTCCTTTTAACTCTTTCAATTCTGACCAAATGGACATACTGATCATTGTCCATCTATTAAATTAGTTATCACTAAATCTAGATGTCTTCTAAAACTCTGTTTTCATTAATTCCATGATTAAAACAAAATTAAAACAAAATGTTCAACGGTTTAGCTTATATGAGAATTAGACGAAATGATTTTACGGCCAGCTTTTTTCAAGAAATCAAGAAGTGAAATGAAAGCATTCAATCGTTTAAACATTTTAGAGAGGAATAATTTCCATAATTAATTACCTCCTTATTCACTTTTCTCACTTTCATGTATTGTTTGATACCATCCATTTTATTTTGAAATTTCGTCCGTGCTTCACTCATATTTGATATTGCACTGTAAAAAAAGGCGAAAATTACATCATTACGCTTCTAAACTTGGAAAATGCTAAATCCTGATCCCATCTCAGATGTATCGATCGTTTCAGCGATCTATTTTGATCTACCATTTACTATCATACCTTTTCAATCATCATTGGATGAATTAAAAATTCCATTTTAATATCTTTAAAATTTTCAACGTCCAAAATTTTGATTTTTTAATTTTTTCTTCTTGAAATAATTACTATACCTGCCAATATTACCGACTATAGTTGCAAAAATGAGTACACCACACATCAAATCCATAATTACAAAAAGGAATTCTATATTCTTTCTTGGAGCAGGTACCTCACCAATTGTTGTTAAAATTAGTGTAGACCAATAGAAGCTGTAGATGTAACGTCTCACAATTGTATCTTCCACGCCACTGCAAGTGAAATCTGTGATAATCTCTTGAATACTTAATTTTTGATGATTATTTTTCTAGGCTGATAAGTAACAGATTCTCAAACTAAAACTATTTCATAATCACCAGATTATACTTGTTATGCTTACTATCAATACTTGAATAATATTTACTCAGGCAAACTTTGTTTGTTAAGTGGCCCATAGACCCAACCATCACTGCCAAGACCAATCATTTCACTTATGAAGAAATATATACATGCATTCCAATGGATGATTACAACAATATTAGCAATAACGCAGAATATGCGAAATGCATTTGGCATCGAACTCCTGCAAGTTTTACCTTTTCAGTTCTTTTCAATGCAAAAATTGTAAATGAAATGCATATGAAATTTAGGCGAAAAATTTTAAATAAAAATTTGGTGTAACTGGAATCTTTTAAAATTAAAGAAAAGATTATTTCATTTGCTTATTTTGATATACCTTTGAAAGGATCGTTGATAATGAGATACTTTTTATTAAGAATGATTGGAATGGAAAAACACTAAACCTGGTCTCAGTTCTATCAACAAAATCAGAAAAGCGTGGATAACGGATAATGCGATTAAAACGCAGATTTGGAAATGATCGACGAAATATGAGCGATAAAATAAGGTCAAATGGAAGAACACTGATTATATCCAATTTAAATTGTAATGATTTCAAATAAAGCTTTGTAATTCGTGAAATATCTCGAACAAGTAACCCTTGCTCCAAAAAACCTTAAACATATTATATTTTTCAAATAAATTCATATTTTCTAACATCATACAAGTACTGTTAATTAATTTAAGAATAATATAGCATGATAAAGCTTTCTACCTGTTCTGGAATGCACAAACATATCAAGCACGTAAATAATATCCATAACAAAATCTATTACTAGCCAAGCAATCCAATAATATCCGGAAGCCAAATCAGAAAAAACTGATCGAGCTAGAAATTAATGAAAAGCAGCAAATGAGTGCATTCACAAGAAATAATTGAAAGAATACTTTAATGCATTTAGTGCATTCAAAAAATAGTTTATATTTGTTGCAATTCTCAGATAGTGAGAAAATTTCACTTTTTGCTTACAAATCCGTAAAGTTATAAAAAGTGCTTTTTAACAAAAGCAATGATTGATCAGCCTTATCGATTATTTCATTTATAATGTAAAAAAGAAATGAATGGTTTGTTGTTGGGAAATGCTTACCAATGACAACAATTAGGTTATAAGCAAATGCGCACGATACCACACTTAGCCAGTAATAGTAAAATTCATCCTTCGTATCCAAAACCCATTTCTTTCGCAAATAATACCATCTTGTCTCGCATACCTTTTTTGTTGCAGGCTGTTTTGAAGGAAGTGCATCAGATTGGCCGGAATCCAGGGCTGAAGATGGCTTAGTATCTTTTGCGCCTGGTGGGGGTGGATTTTCTTCCTCATCCATACTGCATACTTTATTTGATCGTAATGATTTGCATCTCTATAACTATTATTATCAATCATTAAATTGATTAAATTGAATAATTTAAAATTAGGTGCTTACTGAGGTTTGAAATTAACCAGATGAATTGATACAAATTTAATACAACAAATTTTTCCATTATGAAATTCCATATGACTACAATAATAGAAATAGAATACTGAATTGAATTTCAATTGGCTTTTTGAAATGAATATATCATTTCTGAAAATATCTTTTGAAAATATACCTTTTGAAATGAATCATTATTATTGGGAATTTTTTTTGTAACTGTTGCATTTAAAAGATTTTCCCTTCTTTTCAAATGATTATTAGAAATACCATTAGGAAGCATCTTATAGTTTTGTTCATGAGCCAACTTCTGAAGTATTTTAACAATTAATTCCACAAATTCAGCTGTACTTAAATGAAAAATTAATAATCGCATTTTTTTTTACAATCACAATCGAAAATTATAATAACAAGCAAACGAAGGAAAAAGGAAGGAAAGGCATTCTGGAAGGTATTAGAAATATCTTTCTGAAGAGTGAATGCCAAAAATATCTCCATTTCAAGTCGAACAAAAATTATAAGTGATTACTATTAAACTTCATTTTTCAAAGTATATTTAACAGAAGCAAAAAAATAAACCTCTGATCGCCCGACGCTCAACCAATCCAAAAATATGATATGCTTCTGAATGCATAATAACTTTGAAGAAAGCAAATGGTTTTAGGAATGAATAGACCTGAAGAATTTTCTTATTTTTTCATCCAAGCAATTAGAGATAACAGTTTACAAGCGAAATTCGTCCTTTAGCTTCGTCGTTTTAATTCTGAATTTCAGTATCTGAAAAATTGAAATTTTTTACCAAAAAATCATTTTAATTAAATGAAATCAACAAATACTATTTAATTGCTTTTCTTTTTCTTTTTTTTCATAAATTGATTTTCTTTAGTCATTCCGAATAATACGCCATAATGTTTGCAAATAATGAATTAAAAAATTAATAAGAAATGAAATTTTATAAAAGCAACAACAATTTTTACGCATCATTAAGTGTGCAATTCCAAGCATTCAATTAGCATTTAAGCACTCAAACATCTTTACCTCATTTGTCTATCAAAATCTTTAGTTTGGGTTTTGAGCATGCCTTTTGGGGCTCAATCCAACCATTATGTAATTACGTGCTTTCTCTATTATATTTGCTTCCTTATCCTAAATTATATTAAGGTAGAAATTGATTACTTATCAGTTGGCTAATTCAAAATTTCCTCTATCCATTATTCTTCAAAAATATAACTTCCATTTTTTACACGCAATAGAAAATATCTTCGTTATATTATTCTACAAACATGAAATAGTGTTATTCGAAATTTTGATTTAATTTTCATAAAATCAAAGTAACTGAATTTTCATAAATAGTGAGATTTATCGGATCTGACACAACTCTTATAACAACAAGTGTACAACAAATGTCATGTTATTTGAAGATGAAACCCTCATCCTTTGGGTCACCTTGACAACCAACAAGGTGTCATCATCATTCTTTCACTCCACACCATTCGATTTCACTAAATTGAAATATCGCCTTCACTGATCATTCTCTCCACTTCAAACTTTTTCTGTAACATTCTAGATAGATCATGCATCGATATCATCCGGCGGTATCGAACACCACACCGCCTTACATTTCTAACTGATATTGAAAGGCATCTTAAATTCATGAACATTTATTTTTTCAACTGAATTTTAAATGTCGGGCCTTTCACAACGCCTCTCCGCTGTTCATCGCTTTAAGAAATCAGAAAAACTAATAACTCATAAGTTAATTGTCTTCTCGACAGGTATGTTGTTTCGTGAAATATTTCAACAGCTACATGCTGACAAAATTTTCTTTATTTACAATATTCAAAACTCAAAACTTCAGAAAAAAAATCACAAATTCAACAATGCGCATAACTTAGACAGCTCTGAAATGTTTTTTGATTTTCAAAAATTTAAATTCTAAAAGACCTATAATTCATGACTAAAAGAACACTGAAAAAATTCCACATGCCATGAGAACAAAGCTAATTTTACAGATATCAAATTTGACACAACTATGGTTGGCCAGCACATGAGCATATTCCATTATTACATGGCAGGCCAAAACAGGACGATGTATTTGGTATACATTCTTTCCGGTTGCATACCGTTAATAAAGCATCGAAGATACCCTTTAAACCAGCACATTTGAAGCCTGAAATTTAGAAAGTTTTTGATTGATTGATTAATTAATTTGTGTATGTGATAGCTGATAAGTGATAATAAAATGATTAAAATTATGCAAATATTACAAATTATTTCGTGCATTTTACTGATAAAAGTAAAAGAGATTTGGATCAAATTCATGCAGAAGACAAAAACAAATAACTGACCTTTGTCACAGTCGCAATATTTTTCATTGTTGCATGCACCTCGTAAGCCACCGCAATCTGCATCAAATTTACACGGTGCAAACTGTAGACATGCACCACAATTGCATGTGCCAATTGCAATACCCAAACATTTTCCTGTGAAAAAAAGAAAGTTAAAATTTATCAAAATTTTCTGTAGATCTATGAAAATTTTTCAAGCTGAGAATGCTGGGATTTTAATTTCCAATTTAATGTGCCATTGTGAAAAAAAAAAACTTTAAATTGCCTATACTTACATTATTGTGCAATAATTCATAGCATTTGTGCTTTTGTTTAATTTTATGCTTGAATTGTTTTTTTCGTTTAATTTAAAATAGTAAGGAGCAGTTCGTAGCCCATAAAAATGAAACTATACCACCACTACAGTCCGAATCCGTTGTACAATTTTTCATTGGTACGCAAATTGGAATGATAGGTCTGCTTTCTTTCTCCTCTTTTAATTCTCGTGACATTCGTGTCCAATTGTGGAAATCTAAAAATAATTCATTAAATGTACGCTAATACATGTTGCTTCGAAAAAAAAATTTTTTTTAGTGAAGTAATTAAACCTAAGGCTATGAAAAATAACGCTTGGCGTTTTTAATTAAGTTCCGACTACAACTATCATAAATTCAAATTAGTGTAATTTTAAGTGATCGATAAGATTGTTTGTTTTTTATTAATGAGTAATTACGGATTATAAAAATATAAATTAGGCAGTAAAGTTACTCACTCTTTGAAGAATTGAAGAAAAAATGGAGAAATGCAAGTATGAGCAACAATACTTGACATGATAAATCATGCTAGCACGACTTTATAAATTATTTCAAATTAATTAGCGAGAAGAATACTGAAAAGGTACCCATGATATCAGGAATAAATGGTGATTCGCTGTCCTCGGAAACACAACAAATTACAGTTAGTAACGCGCTACCGAAAAGTATAACTGTTGTAATATCGAACATTCTTTTTAAAAAATTATTTGTGAGACAAATGTATAAAACCTGTAATTCAGTCTTCTGATGATTAGCAATATCAGAACTTTCTGTTATTAAAACAATCTTTGTCGTACATATTGTTTCCAGAAAAAATCTATAGTCCTAATAACGTCCAAAATTAATCGCCATGGGATAATTAAATTGTTAAATAATTATACGATGATTATTTTTGGGATATTTTTTTCGATTTCCTTAAATCTTTTAATTTCATATCTCATATGTTCGGGTGTTTCTCGATAGTCACCTTTAGTATGGAACATATGTTTACGTCATCTTTTATGAGAAAAAGAGAAAGAAATTGATAATTGAATTCGATGAAGCATTAAAAATGTCTCAAATTCCCATTCTAAACTCACTCCATTTATTCCCACAATTACTTCAAAATTTGTCTCTCATTTTTATCACTCGAAGATATTCCGCAGAAATGCAATATATGAAGCACACGGAGGAAGAAAAGCCATTTACAATATAATGATCAGCAATTGTCTGTTACAAAGTAATTGAGATTTCTCGGCGCAGCCAAATCATGATCTTGCTCTTCCCGAGGCGCGTTTCTTGGAGAATAAATGTTTTTAACATCATCAAGCTTTGAAAGTCCCCATCTTTGATAAAAAAAAAGTTGACTGTCACGAATTTATTCTTTTAAATGATAGATATCATTTCATGCTCGTAAAATCATTGCATCATTGTAAATAATAATTTACACAAAATGTGATGCATATCATTTAATAATATCAAAACGGGAAGCTCTCTAAAGTACATTTAAGGAAAATAAAAATAATTTCTATCGAAATGATCCCTTACATACTCTCTTTTAAACTTTCCTCTGATAGAAATAAAATATGCTAAAAACGAGGGAAGGGTGAAATATCTGAGCAAATCATTTCAGTCATTTCAGCATAATTTCCATCAATTATTAGCGGTAAAAAATCAATCATAACAATTGGAATAAATGACCAGTTTGCAAAATGAAAATAATATTTTATTGTGATAAAAATTTTTAACAACGAATTCAAATTCAATTATTTAACAAATTTAACATATCATAATAGACATTTTAAATATTCATTTTTATGAGGCGGTTTAATCTTAAGCTACATCGAATTTATAAATAACTAGATATGACTCCTTCGAATTTCTTCATTCCTTTCATTCATTTCTTGCAAATTTGATGCACAAAAGACCGTACGATCCATTCAATTCGTCTACGGCAGTGATTATCTTTACTCTAATAATTATGCATTCATTTAGTTGTAGAAACATTTCTTATAATCAATGCATTTTTGATTAATTAAAGGTAATGCAATAATTATTTCTTTTGAAACATCAAAATTAAGCTAACTGTGTATCCAAACTGTCAGAAAACCGAAAAGCAATGTAATATTTTAGTTTCACCGATGAAGTTTCTCGTCAATCAATTTAGAAAAGTTTCACTGTTTCTGCTCATTTTCTGAATCCTTGAAATTTTCTGTTTACTTAAAAATAATATATTAAATGGAAGTGCAGAAAAAATTTGATTATAAGAAGTGATGGGAAGATTATTATTTGTTTATTAAATATAGCCAACATAAAATTTAATTTCTTTCATGGATAAATTTCATTGGCATATTTACTTCATTCACTCTCATAATACCCCGTTCTATTTGACAAAATCAGAATACACAAACATAACTAATGATCATTATATTTTAACATAGGTTGGACATTACCGGACACTGATACCGCTGAGTGACCATCATCAGCAAATTCCTTCCGGAGAAAACGGCTTATTGCGAATACCATCCATAATAAACTGATATTTTTCAAAAATTTTTAACTCTCTTATTTTATCGTCAATTCATATTAATCTTCGATAACATTCATTATGTGGCCTAATTCATGGACTGAGCAAAGTATTCCAAAGATTATGCAACCAAAAAGTTAAGTTAAATTTTATCCTCTCATCTAATCAATTAAAATTTAAGCAGGATAATTGCAGATCTTATCAACAAAGATGAGATTTATTATCAGCATCACTAATCATATGATTTTTCCTTGGCTTTCACCATATTGTGAGTTATATAGCAAAGTATGTAATTTGTGATGATAATATGTAATATTTTTACAAAATTTAACGTTTCATAATTTCGATCCTTCAATGACTTATTCTGTTAATTTCTTTTCTTAGATATTCGTTGAATCAGCTTTTAACTGAATTTTTTAAACTGATTTGCAACAAACAAGCATTTTTTTTCTTACTTTATATTGACTTTACAATTTATCTTACCTTATACTTAACTTTCAAAAGGTGTGTTAAATTATTAGCCAAGAGTAACACTTCTTTAAATTTGAAATTTAAACGAGATAAATCAACTACGTAACATAATCGTGCTTATTTCAAAATGAACTCATTTCTAATTGTTTTATCAAACAATCAACTAAACAGCTAATATCTAAATTCAAATATACAAAAAATAATTTTCTACTATCTCATGAAAATAGTGTTAATTAATTTCGTTTTCCCTCAACATAATAATATTAGTAATTCATTACATTTTTGTTACTATCTTTCCTGTCTGTTAGAGAAGACAATTTGATTCCATCACTGATCCTTAGGATTATTTGACATCAACAACTTCTCATTTAAGAACTAAAATATCTTGAAAAGTATCAAACTTCTAAAATATCTCAATTTCTCCTCATATTAATCTTTAGCATATCTTCTATCTTAACAAAAATGATATTTTTTGATGTTTTAAAATCATCGCCATAGCTTGAAAAAACTAAATTATATATAAAAAATTGATTTATTGTTTATTAAATGGATATCGCATATTGTCTGAAGTTGATAAATATTAAGTTTTACTGCTTAGATTTGGGCTACTTTATAATCAAAGCATTTTTAATAATTCAAGTAAATGTGTCAAAGATTGCTAAGAGAGGCAATGATTTCTGGAAAGCACAATCAATCATAGCAATTGAATTGGAAAGTTATGGAATGAAATGAAATGTTTGTGTATAACATTATCCTGTGACATTAAGGAAGTATGGCAATCATTTTAACATTTGATAAGTGAAGAAATCATAGAATCATCTCGATTTCCTGCCTACTAAACACGATGATCGGGATCGAGAAGTTTTGCCTGATGGAATTATGAATTGACCAGGTAATCGTTGAGCAGAAGAAATTTTTTCTCTTGATATCACTTTTTCATTCGAATTATTGCCATTTCTCGAGCCAATTCTAACTCGTTCCTCTGTTCTGATTTGATGTGATTCCAGAAAGATCGATGTAGCATTCTGGGTTGCTTCTTGAATATGTACAGCTGCTAAAAATGCTAATTCATCAATGCTTCGACTCGTTAATGGTGGAATGTTAATTGACGAAGGTGGCAGGAATTTGCTCTCCCGAATACTAATTGGTGGACGTGATGGTGGATTGCATGGTTTAGTTCCTGCTTTTACGTAAAAATATTTTCGATCTCGACGACTAATTTGTTGCTTCTCCATTTTTGAAACCCAACCGCCAACTTCATAAATTTTTAACAGTGCTCCATGTCGACGCCATGGATTTGGACGTGATCGTTCCACACGTTTTTCGTAGGTTCGAAAATGTCCGAGAATTGGTAGTTCGAGTACGTTTTGTGTTCGTTTCCACATAATTTTTGTACCATGAATATGTCGCATTTCTGGAAGCTTTGATGATTCTGCGTACCTTTGACCAGTGATATCGTCATTGAAAAAGAAGGACTGTGAGATTTGATCTTTTGACGATGATTTTCTCCCGACAGTATCGTCCATATTATTGTCTTTAGAAGGTTGATCAACCACTTTCTCTTGCGAAACAGAAACTCCCGTGACTAAATCTTCACCATTTTCAGCGGTGTCATTTGAAGTGGATTCTGATTCTGATGAAATTTTTCTTGGCATTTCTTCTAAGCAGTACGTAACCGTCTGTTAGCACGGATTCATACAAAATAAGGTTTTGAGTTATTAACATTGTCTTTTATTGTTTATTTGACAGAAATTTGCTAACAAATGTATTCTCAATATTTGCATAAAGATTCGATATTTAAAAAGATTTTAATAAAGTGTTAGTGAGAAGTAAATCTTTAAGACGAATTATACGCGCTTTAAAAATTTATCAAAATTGTGATTTGCAGTTTTATTCAGTCGATTTTGAATTTAGCACAAATTTATTTAGTTTGAATGATATTTGATATTTTAGATTCATAGAAATATCAAAAAATTGAGATAATCAATTACAGAAATATAAATCATAGAGATTTACATTTCAAGCACATGGAAAATATAGCAAACATGACATCTTATACATCTAATAAAGTGGAGGAAAACAATAACGAAGAAAAAACAATTGATCATGCGATATTTGCAAGAATTCAGAAAACAATGGCAAAATTAACAATGAAAATTAAAAGCCTCGTAGAGAATGGACGCATACTTTTTCCTCCTCACAAAGTAAATTTCATTCTAATCAGTTTGAAATTAATTTTCTCATTTTCCCCAATCGTAAAAAACTTCTCGAAATATCCAATTTGAGCGGTACTATTTCGAACAAAATAGCTCTCACACACAAAACTGATGTTATCATCGCATTTAATATTTTTTAATGAAATAACGTCGAAAGAGATTTGTACACTGCTGAAATGAAATTTGACCGATATAACAATTAGTGCTTTAATTATCACTGAAAATTTTGATTGTTTAGCGGAAAATGTCTGTTGAGAATAGTGTCACCATCTGTTGATCAGGGTCAACGGATCAAGTTTGTGATGCGAACAAATTCACGACACAACACCATCACTTCGCACTCTCTCGTTCCTTTGCGATTACAGATTATTTGGAATATTTTGAGGAAATTTAATCATATACCGATTGCTACCAACTCAGAACTGCGTAATAATTAGAAAATTTTTTCGCTATGATTGCTCACATAAGAATTCCGTGCAACATATATTAACGTAAGTTTGAAAATAATAGAGCAAATTCTTAAAAATGTAGCATAACAATTCCGAAAAAGCAGAAATAACGGATGATTCAATTACAGATTAAAATGTTATCATAATAACCAAATAATTATAATGTCTTAAATATTATTCAATATTCTCTTAAACAGTTTACAAGGATGGAAAATAATAAAGAACTGATGAATATCAAAGAACAATTTAATCTACAACAGAAATGTTGATAACAGTAAGTTATTCAATTACCTGTTATTTTCACTTCATTCTATTTTCCTTCTTTGATCTCAGCAGAGCCTTATGATTTTAATCTTTGATGAAAATCTCTCTTTAATTGCTTCAACTCATTTGAATATTAGAGAGGAATCATAATTGTCATAAATTTCATCACGTCAGTGAAATCAACCTCAAATATTCTTTATTATGACCTTTTTTTTTGAAGGCGATAAAAGAATTAGAATTATTGTTCTATTAATTTTCAAGAAAATTTGTCACTGAGCGAATGATAGCAGTGCGAAATAGGTTCGAACCATTCCGCTTTTAAGTTTGACATTTCGACGGTTCTGGAATGTTAGAAGGAGGGATAAAAATTCATAATTCATGGAATAACGTGGAAGAAAAGGTGAAGATCGAAGAAAACTAGCTAAAGATCAAATAAGAGATCAGTAGAATATTTGAAATTATGAGACTCGTAAAGTATTTTAAAAAAATTCTAAATATTTGAAAAAACAAAAAGTAAAAAGAAGTAAAAAATTACATAATCACGACGTGAAGAGTAGTAAAACTCAAAAAAATATCACCAAATTTCTTTGATATTTTTTGATGAGATAGAATGATGTTATTTCGTTCGGAAGATCAATCAGAGAAGTTTTGATCTTTTGGAGACGATGTGTCACTTCCTCACTCATTCATTCTTCACTTTTCTTTCCTTCTTCATTTTAATTTCAATTCAATTTCCTTTAACTTTTATGTGACAAATTCATTGAAACTGTGATATCTCCTCCAAAGACAATAAATTTTTCTAAAAAGCTGAAATAGAAGTTGCGAACAGAAATGGAAGAAAGCTTTTGAAGAATTCAAATTTTGAGGGGTGTATGGAAAGGAAAGGAAAAATATATAAAAAATGATTGTGAGACAGAAAAAAGTGTAATTGCTACATTTCCCCATCATTAATTTTCATATTAATTACAGATCATCCATGAATAATTGAATGTGCAAATCGATTGATCGATCTACAATTAAGTAATTAAAACAGATAAAATCTTCTTCGAAAGAGAAAGTTCATTGAAATTTTATTGCAAATAAGGAGCTCTTTTTAGCTTAGCATTTAAATTAACCAAGAAAAATGTAAGAGCATCTCATTGAATTTTTCATACCAAATTAATCACTCATTACTTTTGAGAAATATTTCAAGCGTCTTTGTCCATGCCTTTGCGATTTAATTTTAGCTAATCAATTTGCAGAAAATACTGCAACGAAAATATTTTTTATTAAAAGCTTTTTTTCTTAATAAAAAAAGAAAACGATACGAATTCCAAAGATTTCTTTTCAGCTTAAGCTAAATGGCATAGTACCATTTTTTTAGAAATTTAAAGCTATTACTTATAGTAGATTACCTCGTCTAATCTTTTTGTCCACAATCAATCCAAAAATTAGGTGATCAAAAATTTTGGTGATAAAAAAAGAAAGAAATTACAAAAAGCGCATAAGGCATTGAAAAAAATGCCAAAATTTTATGTGATATAATGAAATTCACATTTATTACAGTATAAATTTCAATTTATAATTCATTACATTTAAGGACGGGAAGGGAAAATTCACTATCAATCGGTTAATATTATTTTGGATTAATAAAGAAAATGGTAATATGAAAAAAGTTTAAAAAAATGGGAAAAAGACGATTTGAAGTTCATTTTTTGAGGACGTTTGTAAAATTAACTGAAAGGGTTCGATATTCGCATCAGATGTGATTATGCAATTTCGATTCGATGTTTTTTTATTTCTCATTTAGCGAAATAAAATTTATCGCAATTACTTTCGGATATCTAAAAGCTCTTTAATTTCTTTCTATTCGAATATCTGAGGAAGTTCTCTCTTTTTGAAAATCTCCGCACTAATGGTAAAAAGTTATGGATTAATATTATTTATGGTTGCGATTTCACTAAATGAGAAAATAACCGAAATAATTTAGCAGAATTGATTAAAAAATTGAGGCTTATCTCATTTGACCTACTTACTTGTTTAAACATTAATTTACTGTAAATTTGTAAAGTAATTACAACTCGAGAATTAGAAAATTAAAAATGTACCGGATAAATTTTTAAATTCATTTACATACAAATAATTTTTATGAAGAATAAAGCCTAAAGTAAAAGGGATAGAATTATTATTTGTCACTTCATAAATTCATTCATTCCTAATGATGGATGTTTGTCTATTTGACTAGTGGAGGGGGAAAGAAAGAGAGAGAGAGAGAGAGAGAGAAAGAGCCGATAACTGGATGTTGGCATTGGGACATAATGTGATTCCGCTGCAACATTGATGAAGGTGGGATCCTCTCACTATCATGACCTTCGCAGATTGACCTTTCTTACCCACCATCATCACACTCTTCACATTTCATCTTTTCCAGATCTCTTTTGCCTTTCTCAAATCAGCACAACACACTTTTTCTCTTTTATCTCCTTTTTTTCTAGCTTTCCCGCATTTTGCAAATTTCAGAAAACAATTTTAAATTATTATTGCAAAAAAATTTGATATGAAAATCCTAAATCAATTATTTGCTTATCTGCAATGAATTTCCAATCAAGTAATCAACGTAACATTGTAACGTAACATTTCTCTTTAATTTAAACTGTGTCTCATTCTTCCTTACAAAAACAATCGAGTATAGCATATTTGATGAATTTTTCTATCAATAATAACTAATTCTGACTTCAAATTTAAATAAAAATGTACAAAATTTTGACTGTCATATTTTCATCTGTCCACAATTGTTTTGATTAAATATAAGTTTGAATTGTAACAAATAGAAGAAACAGATTTGAAATGCCTTTGCAGTGTTATGATAATTATGATGAGCATAATTCCGCATTCATTGTTCCCTTTCATCATTCCCGGGAAGAATTCTCTCTGAATGGATGAATCCATAAGGAATCTTTCTGCTCACTTTTTTCGGAGGTTTCATTTTCAGTATGGTTCATGGCTGCCTGTAAATGCAATTAAAATCGGAAAGAGAGGAAGAATGGGTGGGGTTTGTCAGTCTGAGGCGAACGGATTCAATTGTAATTTAAAGACATCGGATAGATTTCACCTTGAGAAGTTCTTTCTACTTGCTCTTCCAACCCTTCTTATCACTCACTCGTACTACTATTTCATTTCAATAAATTTTAAATTTGTATTAAATTGATTTCAGTCTTAAAATATAATACTATCTCTAATTTTCTACTTAAACATTTATTGTGTGAGTAGATGAGATGATCCGTTAACTAATGAAATTAAATGAGATGAGAAAATTAAAAGAGATAATTAAATGAGATGAGCCGTATTTGTTACTCTCTTCGGTAGCTTATCAACGAAAAAATATTTGCATATTATTTCAAAAAAAAAAACAAATTTTATGAAAGTTATAAGAGGGCGAGAGGATACAGATGATTGCTTTATGTCCAGCTGGCAACAGGTGCAGCTGCAATGAAGCATAAAATATGTAAGCGACGATAGCAACAGTCGTCGTAACTTTGCTTCAAGTAATTTAGCTATTGCACACTGTTGATTACTTTTTTCCTAATTTTGAATTATTGGTTCACTATATTTGATCAAAACTTTTCAAACTTAAATATAAGTCTTGATTTGTTTTTGTTTTCATTTCTTGCTGATTCATTGAAGCTCATAAATTCAGTTTCATCTTTCACTTTAAAGATATTTTCATTTGAAATTTCACTTTAAAAA